GAAGAATACCCAGAATCAGTTTTCTTCTAGACCTTCCTCCCGTGTGTGGCGTGTAAGTGTGTGACAAGCGACATCACACAAGGTCGTGTCGCTTCTAACGGCTCGTGCTACATCTTCCTGATTCCCTGGTGCCCTCCTTTTGTTTGATTACTACTACTTGCTTTCGAGCAGTGTATCAGAAAGCATAATTTGGAAAAAGAATTCTGGACCCTATCTTAGAGAACCCCTATTAAGAAAAAGGGGGCAAATCCAGCTCAGCATATGTATCTTTGCTAACAAATGCATCTCTTCTCAGTCTTTTTCTTTTCCCCTAAAGGACAAGGAAATGTTTGAAATAGTCTCTCTCCACCTCCCTCTCTCTCTCTGCCCCTGTCCGTGTGTGCTGTGGTGTGGATAGTCTCTCTCTCCCCCTCTCCTCTCTGCCCCTGTCCGTGTGTGGTGTGGTGTGGTATGATAAAAATTAATGCTAAATGGTATGATAAATAATGGCATGATAAAGTTACTGATTTTTGAATACTTAAAAGAACTATGCAACACTTACTGGGTTTTATTTGAGGAGGAAAAACTGGAATTTGAGGCTAGGACTGTTGTTTTCTGATTTTTTCCTTAGTTGCGTGTAGACGCTCCAACACTCCCTTTGAATAGCAGCTGTTGTTCAGGTTATGTGGATAGGCTAAGACTTTGTGCAGTCATTAAATGGACTTCGGTGATTCAGAACTTATTGTTTTTAACTCATCTTGTGGATTCTGTTCTCATTACATTGCCTGGGCTGTGTCAGAAAGCACAGCACAGCTTAGAAGCTACATCAGAGCTGTTCATGCACCAAGTCACTAATGCCCGAAGATTAATTATGAATCCATCAGGACTCCAAGCTACAATTCTCAATACCTATACTATGCCCTGATTTGTGTTTCTTAGGACACTTTTGAGGACTTGTTTTGATACAGGAAGTATGCTGAGACTGCATACATAACTTCACTGGGTCCTTAATCAGCACTGTCAGACAGGCTGTGACCATCAAGATTTTTAAAGAATTTTAAGCTTCACCTGAACAACATGTTCTGGTGGGGTACAACCTGGAGTTATGTATAGAAATCAATAGGAAACCATCAGCTGTCTTATAAATCCTCGTGTGTAAATGCCTGTGATGTGATAGTTAAAGACAACGGAAGAGAGGAGCCCTTAGTAGCACACAACACAACTCTCTTCTGCCAAATGGGAAGCAAATGCTTGTGTTGGGGGCTCTGGCTACACATTTGTAGAGTGATTGTATGGAGCCAATTACCCACTCGGGCAGGGCAATAACAGTTTGTGTTTTGCGAAAGAGTCTGATTCTGTAGACTTCCTTGAGTCACACCCAACACAAAATCGTTTATAAAATATTTAAATTATCCTAATGGTTTGTTTTTCATATTTTGAAATTTTGAAAATTAATTTGATAGTGATGATCTCTGGATCTTAATGACCAGATGCAGATGATTTCTTCTCCAAGCCACTCTGGAAAAAAATGATCATTTGCCTTTATTCATCTGCATCACTGGTTATATTTGTCTTTCCAAGTGAGCTAGGTCAGCTTTGTGAAAAAAAGGTAGATGTCATACCACAGGGCTTATCCAAACATTATCCCAGAGCTAGGCACAGTGATGCAGTCTGGAGTTCCAGTACTTGATAGACTGAGGCAGGAAAGGTGACACTACAGACACAAAAGCAAACACAAGGATATGACAGCCAGATGTTTAGTTTATCTATTTATCCAACTAAAAATATTTCTTGAACAACTACTATTTTGTCCATATTCAAGACATAATCTCTTTGGCCTTCCAGAAGTAAGGTGTGATGAGATAGGATGCTATTGTGGAATATTTTTTAAGATGTTTATGCTGTGGAACATTTATTTTAATGATGCAAAGATGTGTTGCATTCTTCTTTGTTGCATTTGTTTAACTCTGTGAAGCTGTGTTACGTTGCCTGTCTAAAATACCTGATTGGTCTAATTAAAAGCTGAATGGTCAATAGTGAGGAGAAATTTGGGAAGAGAAGGATGAATGAGAAAAGGAGGGAAGGACATCAGAGCCCAGCTACCCAGCTACACAGCAGCCACGGGGTAAAATGTAATGAAAAGTATACAAAAATAGAGAAAAGTAAAAGCCCAGGGGCAAAGATAGAAGGCGTAATTTAAATTAAGGAAGGCTAGCTAGAAAAAAGTCAAGCTATGGCCGGGCGGTGCTGGCGCATGCCTTTAATCCTAGAACTCGGGAGGCAGAGGCAGGCTGATCTTTGTGAGTCTGAGGCCAGCCTGGTCTACAAAAGCTAGTTCCAGGACAGGCTCTAAAACTACAGCAAAACCCTGCCTCGAAAACAAAAACAAAACAAAACAAAAAAAGTCAAGCTAAGGCCAGGCATTCATAAGTAAGAAAAAGTATCTCTCTGTGTGTATTTATTTGGGAGCTGGGTGACAGCTCCCCTCCCCGCAAACAAGTAAAGAGTAATAAAACAACCAGTACACAGGATAGAATTTGTTTCTGGTGCTGAGTATTGAATATAGGATTGTACTCATTAAGCGACCGCTCCAGACCCTATAATAACACATTTTAATTATAACTAGCTTCAGCATTGTTTGAGGGTTTTTTCTTCTTATATTCAATATGACTTTTGATGACCAACTTTAGCAAAACAGATAGAAAAAAATGAAAGAAAAAGTGTTTTATTTAAATATAAATTTTTGTAAGATAATTTTATTCTTTATTTGTGACATAAAGTCATTAAAAACAATGTCATGAGGGTTCAGTGACTTCTCTTGGTGAAATCTAATCTCCATCACAAGTAATTTGATTTGAATATCCTTTCATCCATCACCACAACTGTCACCTTGATATATAAATATGGAAAATATTTATATTGTGAATGCTTTAAGTAGGAAAAAACAAAGTCTTCATGAAGGCTTATTATCTGCTAGCTCCTCCTTAAGTTCCACGGGGTTGGTGTGCATATTGATGGAGTCTCAGTGTGTTTGCCCCTCTTTCTGTTAAGATCTTACCTTTACTTTATAAGCGGTGAATATGGTGGAGACTATAGTAAGTACAGATTGTGAAAACTTTGTCCCCAAAGTGATAGACCTTCTCAACACAATATACTGTTTGGTAATATACTATCTGGCTGGGGTTGTTCTGAGGGTCACTATTCTACAGGAAAGCCACAAGTTTTTAACAAAGATGTAGAATATGGCATTAAATTAGGAAGAGTTCTGGGATTTTCAGATGTCTTTGGTTATTCATTGGTTCATAAGAACTGGAAATTTGTGTTTGAGTTATTTGCTGAAATCACACAAGGCTTTTAGAAGACTTGAGAGAAAATACCTGGGAATTCCTGCACAGTATCTCAGTTTATGCAATCCCGCGACGTTATAGCTTAATTTTGTTTTGTATCAAAAAGTCACACAAAAGAATTTGGTACCGTCATCATCAAAAGTTTGCTGAGAAAAGTTTCAAAGTACTTGATAATTTTGTTTCAACCAGTTCTATTTTGAGGCATTCAAAGTCTACTAGAAAAAGCAGCATGTGAATTAGAAATTATACAGAATTTACATCCTATATAATTATAGTCCTCTGAGACCTACCTGAAAAACACCTCCCAGGAGTTTTCTATTTTTGATTTCTACACAGAGTGCACACACATGTGCATGTTATTGTGGGAAAAAAATTATTTAAGATGTGAAATTCTAGTTTGTTTGTTTGTTAAGGCAGAGACTCATGCTGTAACCCAAGCTGGCCAGGAAGTTACTATGTAAACTTACGATCCTCAAACTCCCTGTTGGCCCTCAGGAAGCTGCATTTACTATCCTCAAATCACATATTGACCAAAGGAAATAAAAAATTGTTTGTCAAATACAAAATAACTTTTCCATTAAAAAATATATATAGTGGAGCTGGAGAGATGCCTCAGATGGCAAGAGCACTGGCTATTCTTCCAGAGGATCCAGGATAGTTCCATAGCATCTACACAACAGCTCACAACCATCTGCAACTCCAGTCCAGGGAATCTGACACCTGCTTCTGGCTTCCAAGGGCAGCAGGCATGCAAGTGGTGCATAAATATAAATGCAGGCCAAACTCCCACACACATAAAATAAAATAAAAATATTTTTTAAGCTGGGTGATGGTGGCACATGCCTTTAATCCCAGCACTCAGGAGGCAGAGATAGGTGGATCTTTTTGAGTTCGAGGCCAGCCTGGTCTACAAGAGGTAATTTCAGGACAGGCTCCAAAGCTACAGAGAAACCCTGTCTCAAAAAAAAATTTTAAGGTATGCATATTTGACAATGTAATTTATATTTATAATATAAATATATTATTAATATTATATTTATTAGTTATGTTTAATTATGGAATATATTTTTAATTTTAATATATATTAATGATTCTTACAAAAAAATCACAAAGAAATAAAAGAAAAATTTCAGAAAGTAGGATTCAGAGTAAATCAATCGAGTTGATTTTATAAATCAGAATTAAATTTGAGCCATTAAAGATATTCATAGTTAGTTTTATGCCACAAGCCACCAGTGTGAATCAATTAGCAGAGACAGTTTTTATCTTCCAGTTGGGCAAAATAGAAATAAGAAGAAATAGAAGGATCTTCATGCCTCATTATCCAGTGCACGTCCACGATGCCTGACTGAGACAGGCCGGCAGCCGAAGCTCTAAGAAGGAAATTTCATGATGTTGAGCAGCCTGCAATGCACGTTAGTTTACCTTCTGTGTACTGCAGATTCTTTGACACCAAGCACTTCACATGAATGGGCTTCTCCTGACTGAGTTTCTGGTCCCTGACTTTAATCAATTAAAGGCTGAGCACTTTCCTAATCCTCAGCTCTCGATGAAACTTCTCTCAGAGGATGTGTCTCAAATGTTAATAAAGTTTTCATTTCCAAAGGGTTCAAAATGACAGAACAAATTGTTTTCCTCTCAGAGCACGAGAACAACCTGTGTTTCTGTCTGCAGGTAGTGGAGGACATGCTAGAGGACGAAGAGGAGGAAGACGACAAAGATGACAAGGTAATTATCTTCCCTGCGCTGGGTACCGGGTGTGGGAGATGCAAACATGACACTGTTTTCACAGACAGTTGAAAAAGGAGTTGAAGGGTTTGAGTCCAGAAAATTGGACAATGCTGTTTATCATCCTAACAATGCCGCTGCGTGTTGCAAAGAGGAAGAAATGGCTATAAATCCTCTCTGCTTTTGTCCAGAGCTGGGTCAAATATTTTTCTGCCAGAAAAAAAAAAATCAGCTTGTCTGGAACTCGATAGCTATTGTGAAGATAATAGCACTGACAACTGCTTCTGAAGGACAAAAATTTGTCCTATCCTGAGTGTTACAAATCAGCCTATGCTTTGGGGGAAGGAGGCAGGCATGAGAAAATACTATCCTGCATGAATTGGACACGGATAATGTCATCTGTAATTTTCAAGGAATTGCTCAGCAAAAGAACATGTGTATGACGTGCTTGGGAGGACATTTAAATAACTCTGTGCTCACTGCCCTTGCCTAGACTTACAATGTTCCCATACCTCCTCCATCACAAAAGACCTTTGGAGAGACTTACTTGCAATTCTTTTGCTAATTGGCTTGGTGATGCTGACCATGGTAAACAGCAGTGAATCTCTGGCTTGTTTGCATTGTTGATTTCTTGGGGAGAGGGAGAGATTAGTAGGACCTTGTACCACCACAGAGGTGGCTGGGATTAGGACAACAGCTCTCTCCAGCAAGCAGAATAGAAACTCTCTGGCACTGTGATCTCTGGTCAATTTTAGATATTAAAGTTACCATATCTAAACATGAAGCAAGGAGGCAGGGGAGAAAATATTAATTACTTGCACATTATTTAGCATATAAAACCAGATTTTGATCTCCACCCAAAACTCATCACTGTTACAGTAAACCATGATGTTTTCGAAGGAAGAAAAATAGAGCATCTCAATTTATGTCCTTGACCTTCCACTCCAGAAGAGATGCACAGTTAAACCCCAGTATAGGAGTTTGTGTTGGGAGCAAGCATTTGAAATGTCAAAGGGGGAAAAGGTCACACTGAATACTTTACCTCACAGTCTTTGTTTCCTGACTCATATTTGATGTTTTCAGTCGAATGAAAACACACATGCTTCTTCCCAGCTTTCCTCTCATGCTGCTTCAAATGCTTTAAATTGATAGAGCTTTTATGTGGAATTTCTCTCCTGTACCTCATTAATATCCTGATGAAAATAACCTAACGAGATCTCTTGTCTGCGAGGACACACACACACACACACACACACACACACACGTTTTTTAAACTTAAATAATATGAGCATACACCCCTGACAGTAAATGTCTGATTTATTGTTAAGGTCAGTAAGGTCAGTTGTAGAGCTGTGGAGAGCCTATACTTTAACTCAACATGCTGGCTCTGAATCACCACTTCTCTGTGCTAAAGACTGAGCTGCTGTCCACTTATGGCTTTTCTTGCTTGTTGCTGCTTTATTATTAAAGGCACCATAAAGACCCATCCCAGCAGCAGGCGTTTCCCTAGAAATGCTAATGAATAGGAAATCCAGTGAAGTCGACTACTTCCATGTCTCTCTGCAGCAAGTCAGCCCATACATTTTTAACCAGTTTATTGGTATTGTGTGTGTCTCTCCCTTTCTTCTTCATTTTTTTTAAATAGAGAAGATCTTAGGTATAGGCAACAAATAGACATCCGTGGTTAACCAGCTGACCAAAGCACAGATGTTGATTGAACACATCTGGATGGCAATACCAATTCTCAGGAGCTGTGTGTATACATAATGAGCTAGTGACTGGCTGTCTGAAATTGACACCCAACTTCTAACAGATTTTCAGATCAGTTACCAAAGTAGACTGAAAGGGAGGGCTCCAGTCACTGTGTGAATTCAACTGAAGTTGTTTGTAGCTGATAGAGGCAAGTAGCGTGCTTTTACAGTGGGCTGCTCTTCATCAGCCAGTCCTTTGTTTGAGTGATATATAAGGGTGAGGTCCTCCCGTTTATCGAGCATAGTGAAACTGATAGTAGGAAAACGGTGTCTGAACCTAAAAGAAAATCTGAAGTGTAGCAAAAGACTTTGAATCTCTCTTAGAGCAGAAAAGTGAAAATAAGGAAGGATCCTACAGACATCCACTCACCAGCTTCTCCGTTGGCTTGGCTCTCACAGAGCACACATTGTAAGTCTTGGCTGTCCATGTGTCTGAATGGGAGAAGAGTTATTTCCTGTTTTAAAATTTTCATTGGTTGCTCCATTTAAAGTTTGTATGCGTAATGGAATTTCATGAAAAAACAAATGTGTTTTTTCTCCACACGAACAGGTACTGACCTCCAGCTCTCATTGTCTGTTTTCTCATATGGTATAGTAGTGGGGTCAGGTCAATGGGTCCTCTTATAGGATAAAAGTAAAGAAGATTAATAAATGTGCCAAAGCCTCACTTTAATTGAACCTGAAGCATATGTTGCAAGTATGTAAAATATGTCCCAGATGTTCCACCGGGACCAATGTCTTGCTTTCGCTGGTTGCCGCAAGGCAGCTATTAGTTCTGTAACCTTTGGACTTGGGGTAAATGGGGTATTACGTGGCACAGAATGTGAGCACCTGTTTCCCATTCAGTACAGACCCCTGGCAGGCTGTGCCTAAGCCTGTGCACATGTTTTCACTTAGCAGATTGTTGGGTGATTATGAAAAGTGTCTTTCTTTAGAGCAACATTGATATTAGTCACTCACAATGAAAGGGCAAGTCATTGGCTACTTGACAAGGTCCTGTGGGCATAAGCTGAAGTCCTTCATTTCATCTGAGCATGTAGTATTTTCCCTCTGCATAATTACACACAAAGAAAAGACAGAGGTCTGAAAAGTTGAAGCCCATAAAAATATACTCAGTAATAGTTTTTCTTTAGCGTTGGCTTTAGTATGGAAAGACACTGGGTAACGCTGGTGAAAGCTCAGTGCTGGGTCACCTGGATCGCCAGATTTCGAAGCGTTGAAAATTCTTGTTCATTGTCCTTTCTTTTTATGAAAAAGCTCACAGTCATGGTCATATACATACCCTGCTTTCTAAAACCTGTTCTTCACATTTGCTTAAATCTAAATTTAAGATTAAATCCAACTCTATCATTTCCCAAAGCCAGAAAATATGGGTTTTAAATGGTGAGCTTTGCATGTGAATCTTTGCATTCTAATATTTTCAGTCACTTGCATAGTGTAAGAACACCATTAAGCTCTTCTGGGGACAGCATTATTTTCTGAATTAACCATGAGACATCCTAGAGTACATTTTCTGTAGAGCATTCTCCACACCCTCAACCACAAAGCTCCAAACTGATTTTTTTTGACCCCACATCAATTCCTTTCTCTTTTAGACTAAAAGCAAAAGAGGTTTAACTAAATATCCTGGATGGATATTTAGCATATAATAGTGTTCGCAAGCTTATAGTAGTGTTCGCACCATATTGCACAACCATACAGTGGCCAACCTGCATCACCTAGACAATCAGTTCACAAATGACAATCCTCTTTTGTAGTCTGAAAAGTTTCGGCATGCTCCTCATGGTAATAAGATCCAGCTGCAGGATCAGGAAGCAGAAGACAGAATGCTGGATTCCAACAGGAAAAACGTGAATTTAAATGCATTACATTCTAGTAGTGTTTATTGACAAAAGATATGAACACATTTGGGCATTTATGTTCACACAGCTTCTCCTTTTTCTTCGCCTGGTATGTCAAGGTTACTTGTTTCCAGACAGCTAGATGCAATGAATGAAACATTACTGAGTTACTTTAAAATATACAGAGTGTTTTCTTTAATTCTTGAAATCTGTATTTTTTTATTTGATTCTTCAGCTCAAACATGTGTGTACCTTAGACAAGATCCATACATCTCTGCATTTCAAACAGCAGTAAGGGAGGGAAGAAAGATAATTCTAAGTGATAAGAGGAGAGATTTTAATCTGACAAAATTGCATTTTCTAGTTCCATTCAGTGAAAGGACTTCAGGGTTGGGACGCCCAGTGAGGCTGTAGAGGAAGGCTGAGTGAACTTCTCTTTTAAAAATCCCATCACGCTCACCTGGGGTGCCATTGCGATCCTCTATTCTGTGTCTGTAGAATAAAGTACCGTGAACTTCAAGGCAGAAAACAAGTGGGTGGTGCTTGTTCTGTGTTCAATAGTTCAGAATACAGGCAAAGCCAACTGGTTCTCTGCTCACTTTCTGACTCTCTGAGCTATCGTCTGCAGAATTTAGAAAGGAGTCCGCTTCAAAAGATGATTTGGCATCTTGGTAGAATCCAGTTCCTTGTACTGGAGAAACTGAAATCTTTGTTTTCTTGTTTCTTCTTTCTGCTCCTCGTGACCTAGTTGTCTTTAAAGACATCTGGAGATTCTCCCTTGAGTCTCCCCAGTTCAGCCCTATCTAAGGGCTCACATGATTACATCAGCCACCAAAGACAATTTCCCCTTCTTAAAGAAAACTCTCATGAAATATGACTTAATCGTGATAATAACTATTCCATCATACTCATAAGCCGGGAGTGTGGGGTGGGGATTAAACTTGATATGTAGAATAGAAGGAGAGAACTATGGCTTTCATCTGAATCTGGCCGCCAGGTAGACCTGTCCACTAACTATGGTGACAGTGGAACAAACTTTGTGCTCTTTGACTAGATCCACTGCTAGATTTGTCAGCTATCATACAATAATCAATAAAGGAAACAATCACCTGCTAGTTAGCATATTCATTTCGAGGTCGGGGGTGATTGGTCAGGCTGAAGGCTTCTCATGGGCCACTTCTTTTCCTTTATCTTCTCCTTCTGGTGAAAAGCAAAAATAAAAATACCAAAATGTAGGGAAGGCTCCTGTGGACTTTAGGGGGACTTTGGGTCTATAACCCCACTGGGCTGTCATCTAGAACCACAGTGACATTAGAGTTTGAGGGTAACTAAGAAATAATCCAGTTCAAATGCTTTGTTTTACAATCATAACACTGGGACTGGAGTTATAACATACATGGTACAGTGC